GCATTGGTCATCGTTGACTCAGCAGGGCCGAGAGGGTTGTATTAAGAACAGAGATAGCAGAGATATTTTCGCTTTCGTATGCGAATTAACACGTACAGTGATTTTAAACAAATCGTTTTAACCCAGAAGTTGATGACACCGAACTTCATTGGTCCGGATTGCAATTCCGTTGACTCATCTCGTATTTACAAAGTGAGCCTGAAAAGTCAAGCACTCCAAGAGATAAAAGGATACTGCACAACATCTATGACTCTGCAGACTGTGAATGGATAAAGAATCCAGTCCAATGATTCAGCAATTGGGGGGGGGGCACCCTTAAAGTGTTTTTTGTTTTTTTTTAAAGTTTGAAATACCTGCCTCAATAAAATATGAGAGAGATGACAAAGATAAATATAATGTTATGTACTTCTTGGTTTAAAAAAAGTTTGTGAAGAGAAAACTAACAAATAATGGGAATAATGGAAAATGGGAATAATGGAAAATATTCAGCGCAGACAGAAGGAAGCACTTCACTCAGTTCAAAGGAGAAAAATGAAAAGGGACAGATGACTGGTAATGAGATGCAAAAAGTATAATCAGCAATCAGTCCCTTTAAATGTTTGTGAAATAGGCCCAATAAGCCTTCAAAGCAGCAGATGGGTGGAAAATGGGCCAGCATTGCTTAAAGTGATTTCTTCAAAACACTTTTATTGGGACAATAGTAAGCCGGTGGTGCTGTGGGTTAAACCACAGAGCCTAGGACTTGCCAATTAGAAGGTCGGCGGTTTGAATCCCCGCGACGGGGTGAGCTCCCGTTCCTCGGTCCCTGCTCCTGCCAGCTTAGCAGTTTGAAAGAACGTCAAAGTACAAGTAGATAAATACCAGTAGGTACCACTCCGGCGTTTCCGTGCGCTGCTCTGGTTCGCCAGAAGCGGCTTAGTCATGCTGGCCACATGACCCGGAAGCTGTACGCCGGCTCCCTCGGCCAGTAAAGCGAGATGAGCGCCGCAACCCCAGAGTCGGCCACGACTGGACCTAATGGTCAGGGGTCCCTTTACCTTAGTAAGCCATCGTATCTATTCGGACCCAACAAGTAATGTCAAATACCTCAACTTCTACATGCAATATTTAATAGGAGTTTGTGTTCCTTAAATAATGCTATTTTGCTGATCTGCAAAGATATGCAAGTTTAATTGGTTAAATACAGTGGTACCTCAGGTTATAGACGCTTCAGGTTACAGACTCCGCTAACCCAGAAATAGTACCTCGGGTTAAGAACTTTGCTTCAGGATGAGAACAGAAATTGTGCTCCGGCAGCGCGACAGCAGCAGGAGGCCATTAGCTAAAGTGGTGCTTCAGGTTAAGAACGGTTTCAGGTTAAGAATGGACCTCCAGAACGAATTAAGTACTTAACCCGAGGTACCACTGTAACTGATGGAAACTCACAAACTGGCAAGGCAATTGTATACATATCGGCTCAGGGGTAAGAATAGGACTTATTCCTTCTTCTTTGGTGACCACTCATAGCTCAGTAAGATTGTTTACATAAACACGGTTATGTATATGATTGTAGCCCTAAATGAATACAGTTGCTGTCCCAAGTGTAGATCATTGTAGTCCTAAATAGGTTTGGAAGAAATTAAATAACTCCTTCAACAGCAGAATGTCTTCTAGAAATTTTGGACTTGTTAACAACTCCCATCAACCCCAGTCAATACAGCCATGTTTAATTTTGTTTCATGATGTGTTTAATTTTGTCTTAATAGCATAATTCCACATTTTACTTATCCAATACTCAGTGGAGGGTATTGTGCAAAATACATGTTTTACTAGAACAGAAGACCTCGAAGCTATTTACAAGGCAGTGTTTAATAGGCATTTAAAATACCAATAAAAAGATTAGAAAAGTAAAATATAAATCCAGCAATTGTGTTGAACTAAACAAGAAAAAAAATGTAATCAAAGGTCCAAAACAGAGGTTATATTTTCCAAATGAATAGAGTGCATATTTTGAAGAAAAATGAAAGCAGCAAAACACAAAGCAAACAGCCAAATTATGCAATTCTGTGGTGGAAGAGAGTTTTGTATATTTGAATCTGACACTTAAGGAATGAAATCCTACCCAATGGTGTAGGCATGTTCTGGATCTTAGGCTTAGTGAAATCACATGCCTTGGCAGGCTTGCTGGGAAAAACTGTTTATAGCAGGTGCTGCAAAGAATTCATTGAAGGTGCCTTCTGAATATCAATGGGCAGGGAGTTCCAATGGTGAGGTTTGCCCCCCCCCCCCCGCAAAAGAGCATTTTGTGTTATTACATGTTGTGCTCTTATATATTTATTATTGCTTGCCACCTCGTGTGAAATGTTTCACAAGGCTGGATAGAAACTGATGAAATAAACATGAAAACAAATGGATAAATTGCATATTTCCTCTATCGATTTGAGGTTAACATGTGACCCATCCCATTCCCTCTTGTTTTATACGTTTGCCAAAGTTCACCAGGCTTGCCATACTTCAGGAAAATTCCTGACATGTCCTGGTTTTCGGGTGTAAAAATGGCATCAGGGTCAGGGGGGAATTTTGCCCAATCGGAAACAGCTCCAAAAGTTTAAAATAACTGTTTTTTTGGGGGGGAAGGTTCCCCCCCAAAAGCTTAACAATTTTGGGGTCCTCCTAAAAAAAAAGTCAAACAACTTTGCAGGAAATTTTGAAATATGGCTACCTTAATTTTGTATTACTGGTCAAAAAAACAACATAGCTCAGTTGGTTACAGCATGGTGCTGATAACACCAAGGTTCCAGGTTCGAAACCAGGGGAAACTCAGCCAGATGGGCAGGGTATAAATAGTATATTATTGTTATTATTATTATTATCTGTGTATTCCTGCATTGCAGGGGTCTGGACTAGATAATCCTCGGGTCCCTTCCAACGCTACAATTCTATTTTTCTATGATCAATGCTAAGTTTGCCTTGGTGACCATTCCTTCTCTATATCCATTCCTGACTTTACTTGTAGCTGGTATTAAGTAGCTGGAAAACTACCCCGTCTTACGTCAAAGGGCATAAAGCTGTTTTTAATATAATGTTGCAACTCGCCCTGGGACATTAAGATGGAGGGCGGGCAATTAATCAATTAATAATTCGCAGCTGCCTTTATTGTTTCCTGGGGGCCCTCGTGCCCCTCCCCTCCTGCTTTCCCCAAAGCAGCATCTCTTGTGTGGTTAAGCGTGCCTGCGCGCGCGTGCGCGTGCGGATCTATAGAGATCGCGTGGGGGGGGGAGGGAGCGGCTGCTTGGATGATCCACGTGTCTTTCCGGGAAGTGTCGCTCCTTCCTGATCCCAGCTCCGGTAGTGAGGTCATCGCCCGGATTTAGGGCATGAGACCATCCATTGCCAAGACTGGCAAAAGGTTGGTGGCTGGCGGGGGGGGGGCTCAGAACAAGTCACTCCTCGGATGGCAAGGGGGAGGGAAGCGCCCCCTGCCGCCCAAATCTGCGCTTGCAAAGTTTGGCGCGCCCGTGTTGGAAACGTGCAAATACTGTACGTCTGCATATATTGCCGCTTTCCGTCGCGCGTAAAGGACGCGCGTTTGAAGCCCGCCTGCGCCTCTTTGCGCAGCGATCGCAAGAAAATAAAGTAGAGAGGGACTAAAATATGAAGGCAACTGCGTAGACCCATGGAAATCAATGGCGCCCAACAGGCACGTGTATTCATTCCGATGGGTCTACTCTGAGCAGGGCTCGCATTGGCTCCAACTCCAAGCGCAATGAAAGGCCGCAAGGCGCTTTCTAAGTTCACCCCGGCAACAAAAAAGGGAAGAGAGTAGCCAGCTGATTTTTATTTCTTGGAAAGGAGGAGGGATCAAAACAAGTTCAGTAAACCTGGGCACTCATGTTCACAGTGCAGCGATCCTTTAACCACGCTCCCCTGGGATTAAAGCCCCCCGGAACTCAATAGGGGCTGACTTCGAATTCGGCTCACCTAAACTTTGGGCTCTTAGGCCTGCCTATCCGGAGATCAGTGGGGTTTACTCCCGGGTAAGGAGTCACACAATGCACACGTGACGGAGCAGGATGCGAGCTAGTCTGCAGGCATATACACAGTCGAAGAGCCAGCGGTCAGTGTCGGACGAGGCCCGGGTTCAAATCCCTCTCTCAGCCATGAAGCTCCCAGGATGACCTTGGGGGTCAGTCCCTGCCCCTAAGCCTGACCTACTCAAAGGGCTGTTGTGGGGAGTAATTGAGGGGGGAAACCAAGTATGCACCACCCTGACCTCCTTGGAGGAAAAAAAGGGATAGAAGTGCAATAGATAAATACAAATAATTAAATTATACATCACGTACACATCTACATACATGTTTGTGTGTGTAAGTTATTTAAACTGTTTTAATTAATGTATTTGTGTTTTACTTGTAACCCGCCCTGGGACCTTAAGGGTGTAGGGTGGGTAATTAATAATGAATAATAAATGTAATTCTATTGGAGGCATTATTAGATAACAGGTGAGCGATAAAGACCAAGTATTAATAAAATAATAATAACAGCATACATACATGTACACACATCCACATCAGCATAATGTCCCATTCCCATTTTGGAATAAATATATATGTGGTTGTGTGTGGATATATAAAGAGAGAGAGAGAGAGGAAGGAAATTGACAAAACCCTGATCATTCCGGAAAAGGGAAATGGACAAAACCCTGATCCGTGACCACAGCGGATTGCAAAACGGACCCGGATCCCTTTTCCTCTCGGGATCGCCTTGGGTTTCCTTGTTTTTGTCAACTTTCTATTCTTTCCTGCTCCTCCTCGCAGCCCCAAGCCGCGCCGCGTCCATCCCGGCAGCCAGCAAAGCCCCGAAAGCTCCAGAAAGGGGCGGCGGCGGCGAGGCGGGCGGCAGGAGCGCGCGCGCGGGTGGCGCCCCGTCCGCTCCCAGCTTTCCACGTCTCCCTTCCTGGGGCCGGGAGGGGGCGGGCGGAGGGGGGGTGGGGAAGCCGGAGGGGGCGGGGAGAACCCAGGCCGGGCTCGGGAGCGCGCGCAGCGGCGGCGGGGCTGCGTGCGAAAGCGCCTTTAGCGAAGCAAGAGCCGGATCGAGGGGAGCCAACGCCGCCGCCGCCACCAACGCCGCCGCCGCCTCGCCAAGGCCGGCTTGCCGGGGAAGAAAGAGGCGAGACTCCGAAGTGCTGACGTTGGATTTGGCCGGAGAAAGCAGCCCGGGAAGCCCAGGAGGGGAAAAAACCTTGGGAAGGAGGACCCCCCCCCAGCCCGTGCCAAGAATGATGGTGCTGGAAGGAGGAGGGAGTTTGGCACTTGGGAAGTAATACCGGAGGAGAAGAAGGGGGCGCAAAAAACCAAAGGGGGGGTCTGGCTAGGGCGGGGCCAGCGAGGCCCGGAAGCTTCTTGATTGCTGGAGATCGGTTGTCAGTCTGCTCGGATCCCCCCCTCCACCCCCCCAGCTCTCTTTCCAGGCCGGGAGCGGAGCGGCAGACGGGCTGGGTGGCTGGCTCTTGCGCGCCGCGCTCCCCCCGGCGGGCTGTGGGCAGGGGCGTCCGGGAAGCGAGCGCGCGAGCCGAGAGAGACTCCCCTTTTCCCGGACGGTGCAGCCAACCAAGGGAGGATCCGGAGAGAGGGGGGCGCCAGAAGGATCGGGGGTGGGGGGAGAGCCAGCCGCCGCCGCCGCCGCCGCCATCATCATCCGGAGGCCCCGTGGCTTTTCAATGGAGGAGCAGCCCGGCCATCAGCCAGCACAGCAGCAGCAGCAGCAGGCGCCTCAGCACCACCACCAGCACCACCACCACCATTACTACTACTACAACCACAACCACCACCAGCACCACCAGCAGCACCTGGCCGAGGGCAGCGCGCCCGCCAAGGCCCCGCCGAAGGCGCCTTTGCAAGCCCTCAAGCATGAGCCCAAGCACGGCGCCGGAGGAGGAGGAGGAGCAGGCCAGCAGCCCGACGCGCCCAGGAAGAAAGCAGGTCGGCCGCCCAGGGCGCGCGCAAAAAGCCGGCCAGGGGGGGAGAGGGCGGCGCCGCCGGTCGGGGCGCCCTAGCGGGAGGGGGCGCACATATGGGGCTGGGGGGGGTCAAGGCATGCGGGCGGTTGGGGGGGCAAACTGCTTGACCTCCGAGTTCTTTTTTTTTGGGGGGGGAGATCCCGGCTGGAGGTCTCCGGGCGTGTTGCGCGCTTTGGAGAGGCCGAAGGGGACCCCCTTGCCAGGAGGGAGGAAAGCGCTTTCTGGATATCGGATGGGAGCTGGCTGGTTTTTTTCGGGGGCAGAAGTAGATGGGGGTATGGATCTGGGCCTTTTTTTGGGGGGGGGGGAGAAAGCCAGACCCCGGTGTTTCCATGCTGCCTCGCCACCCCAGACCTTGAGCGGAGTCTTGTCTCCCCACGGCTTGCCTCGGATGGGGCCGGAGAGGAGGGAAGGCAGCTCGTTCTTTGGGGACAAGAAGAATAAAAATATGCTACCAGGAAGGTTTTGGAGGGGGAGATTCCCACTGGATCCCGGTCAGAACCAGGATGGTGGTGGGATTCGTGGTTTCTCGTTTTTTGGGAGGAAAAATCAGATCCCGGATCAGAATCGGGAAGGCAGTAGAGAGGGTCTTTATTTGCTTTCACTTTTTAACAGGGTACACTCGGCCCTTCACAACCTGAAATGTGGGAGCTGTTTTGGGGATGCAGAGAGAGAGAATATTCAGATTATTTCTGGTGGCGGGCGCATTTCGTGCCGCAGACACAACATTACACCTTATGGGGGGAGATGAGGGAAATACCTGGGACCCCCAGTCCGAGCCAGGAGCGACCCTTCGTTAATGTATGGGAGGGGGTTTAGGGCGACCAAGAAGGGCTGGGGTCCCTCTGCCGGTCCCCAAATATCTTATTTTGCCGGGGGGTCGGGAGAGAGAGACTCTCAAGCCAGGACGGGGATGGAGGTGGGGGGCGAGTCGTGGGCAGGTGAGTGGGGGGCTGGGGATATGTGAACCATGGGTTGGGGGGCTGGGAATGATGGCTTAAATGTGTACTTTTGGGGGGAGGCCGAGGCTGGCCTCGCTGAGGCCCGAGCGCGGTGCTTCTCCTCTCCTGGGGGAGAAGAGGGGGCTCTCTTTGGGGCGGGGGTCTTGGGCCGGGCTGGGCCCGGGAAGAGGCGGCGGCGGCGGCAGCAGCGGAGCGCAGAGACCCGGCTCTGCCGGCCAGGCCTCCTCCCTCCTGCCGGCCCTTTCGGGGGGCCGGGAGGGACCCCCTGCTCTCGAGGCCTGGCAGCTGGCGAAGCCGCCTCCTTCCCGGGCCTTCTCCTCCTCCTCCGCCGGGGCCTTGGCCGCCATGTTGGGCGGGAGGCGAGCCGCCGAGACCGCCACCGCCCTGGCCTGGCTCGGGCCTAGATGGGCCCCGGCCGGCTCCGCGCCATTGTCCGCCGGGGTCGGGGGCTGGGTGGGTTGGGGGGGGGCGGGAGGATGTCTGGAAGCAACAAGGGGTTTTTTGGGGGGCGCGGGATGGAGGAAGGGGACTCGCTTTTGGGGAGACGGGGTGGGTTTTTAGGGGCGCAAGGCAGACTGGAAACCTGCGAAGGACAGGCAGGGGTTTTTTGGGGGGGGGCTTTGTTAAGATTTATGGTTGAAAGTCTTGCCTCCCCCTCCCCTGCAAGGGATTTGGGGTCGTGTGTTACGTTCACCCGGTTTTGCCCTCCTAACAACCCTGCCAGGTAGGCTGGCTAGAGGAAGAAGAGGTGATTGCTCCCAAGGTCACCTGGTTAGCGTGGGGGTGGGAGGGATGATTTTTGAACCCCGGTGCTTTTAAGCTGCAGCAGCTTGTTTTCTTCTAATTATCAACAATTTCTCCCTAATAATGATCTCTGTCATGCAAGCGGAAGGGAGCTCCAAAGGTCATCTAGTTCAGCCTTGGATAACGTGGTTGCGGCTGATGAGAGTTGTAGTCCAAAACATCGGGGGGGGGGCACCAGGGTGGCCAAGCCTAAGCAAAGGGGAGCCCACCACCTCCCAAGATGGATTTGTTCCATTGTTGATACTACCCCACTCATAGGAGCTTAGGGGTTCTTGCTTTGCAAGAAGGCTGGGTATGTGTGTGTGTGAGAGAGAGAGAAATATTTGCTTCTTGGCTGATTCGAACCCAGGTCTCCTAGACCTAGAGTGCCGCTTGAGCCACAGTGCCACAAGGGCTTCTGTTGTGGAAGTGTCTGGGAAGATTTGTGTGGGTACCGGAGCCCCCAAATGTATAGCAAGGACTTGAGCTGTGGGAGAGGCAGGTCTTGGACAGAGAGTGTTTAAAGCCCCCTTACACCAGTTGAACAGTCATGGCCCTCTCCATCCCACCCACCTCCCAAAATGCTAGGAGCTGTGGTCTGTTAAGGATGTTGGGAGTTGTAATTCTGGGAAGGATCTCCTAGTGGTCTCCTCAGCACCCTTAACAAACTCCAGTTCCCAGGATTCTTTTGGGGGATGGATGTGACCCTTAAGCAGGTCCAAGGGATGCCTCTTCCTGAAATGTTTTGAGCACTAACTGCCTGGAAGAGTGGACGGTTCTGGGCCAGATCAGAGGAGTTTGTGGCCCCCTGGAAGTTGCTGGGCTTCCTATAGCCAGTGTGCAAATTGTTTGGGGATGGTGGAGCTGTGGTCTAGCAACATCTGGAAGTCTCCAGGATCAGGCATGTCCAACAGGTAGACCGCGATCTACTGATAGATTATGGGGGTGTCCCAGGTAGATCGTAGATCGCCACCTCCCAGGTCGATTCCCGCTTCCCCTAAAAAAGCTCAAGAACTTTGACTTCCCAAAAAAAGCTCAACAACTCTGGTCCAACCCTCAGTTATGTCCCTCAAGCCAATACAATATTGGGCATTTCCTATTAAAATCATTTTGGGGAGGATGTTGGCCAGATTTTGCGTGGTCCAGATCTTTACTCTGCAATTGGCAAAAAAAAAAAAAAAAAAAATTGAATGAAACCTCCCTGCGTTCTCTTCATGGGCCTTATAAGTGACCAATTCTGAAATAATGAGCCCCCAAACATGAAGTGTGCATGGTGGTCCAGGAGCCGTAAACTCCCCTCTCCCTTTTTAGTGATCCATTAAAACCTTCCTTTCATGGATCGGAAGGTGTGAGGACACTGGTGTCCCTGTTCTGTAGAAAACTCCCCACATCCTGTCTCTCCAAATAAGTCTTCAGTAAGTGGACAGAAGAGGACTTGTGGGGGAAATCTTTGATTCGATTCCTCTCTTTCGAGTTGTTTTAGTCAGGAACCTGTGTGCGCGCGAACACACAGATGGGTATTTGTACAAAATAGTAATAATACAAATAGTAACATAAATCTATTTATTGTTTATAGGTCAGGAACTCTTCACACGGTTCACGGTAACAATATTTAAAGGCAGCAGGTCAGGCAGGAGCAAAATTTTGTACCCCAAAATTTTGCAGCAGTGAAGCTAATTTGACCTGAAGGTTTGCTTAAAAAGCCAGGCCTGCAAGCCTGTTTTCCACAGTAAAATGTTAACAGCAGGACGATGCTCCAAAGACTTGGTGCTGCAGTTGAAAAGGCCCCGTCTCGCCTTAGTGCAGGTGTGGGGAACCTTTGGCCTTCCTGATGTTTCTGGGCCATGGCTCCCCTTATCCCTGACCGTTGGCTCTGCTGGTTGCGGGGGATGATGGGAGTTGTAGTCCAACATCATGTGGAAGGCTTGTCATCCCAAGGCCTTCGCAGGTCGAAGACAATTTAGGTTAAAAGGATGCAATAACATATTGCATCCTTGAAAGTTCTGGGAAGCTCAAAAGCTTGCACATCCCATCAGAGGGTCCACCAGAGATCATGGATCTTATTCATGACATTCATTACATTAATATTTATTTGCTGTGTGCAGTTCTGGTCGCCTCACCTCAAAAAGGATATTGTGGAGTTGGAAGTGGTTCAGAAAAGGGCAGCCAAGTGATCCAGAGAAAGAGCGAGACTCCTAGGAGGAAAAGTTGCAGCATTTGGGGCTTTGCAGCTTAGGGGTGACATGATAGAAGTTTACATGATTATACCCAGAATGGAGAAAGTAGATAGGGATAAGTTTGTCTCCATCCCTCATGGTGGCTTTGCCCTGTCTCCACAGTCAGAGGCAGCAATGCTTCTGGATGCTGGTTGCTGAAAACCACAGGAGGGGAAAGTGCCCTTGTTCTCAGGCCCTGCTTCTGGTTTCCCCACAGTGGGCATCTGGTCGGCCCCAGTGAGAGCAGGAGGCTGCTTGAGATGGGCCATTGGCCTCATCCAGCAGGCTCTTTCTTCTTATGTTCTTACAGTGGTACCTCAGGTTACAGACGCTTCAGGTTACAGACTCCGCTAACCCAGAAATAGTACCTCGGGTTAAGAACTTTGCTTCAGGATGACAACAGAAATCATAAAGCAGCAGGAGGCCCCATTAGCTAAAGTGGTGCTTCAGGTTAAGAACAGTTTCAGGTTAAGAATGGACCTCCGGAACAAATTAAGTACTTAACCCGAGGTACCACTGTACTCAATTTATATCACACCATTCCTCCCAAAGGAATCCAAGGTGGCTGGCCATTATTATTATTATTATTATTTATTATCCTTTGAGAATAGCTTCCTGTGAGGTACCTCTAAGCGATTTACAGTACTTTCATCTCTCCCAAATGCAAAAGACACCCTTCCCAGGCCTCTTGACCTTTGTAATGTTGCATCAAAGTTGGAGGAGATCCTCTCCAGAACAAACATCTGCCATTTGCCCTGCACACATCACAGATTTCCTCTCCATTGCGTTGGCATGGGCTGATCTCCCACACTGCCGCTGGACCCTTGTGGCCACATAACTGCTGCATTTGGGGCTTGAAGTCTCTTCTCCCCCCCCCCCCTCCACTGGACTCTCAACATCTGTGAATGCGTAGTCAACCCTGGCACCCTTCGCTTTGCATGAAAGGAGAGGGTGCTGCCATGCTTGCACCCTCGACTTTCAAACTGGGTTCTGGGGCTCAT